GCCTGCCTGCCTGTCTGCCTGCCTGCCTGCCTGCCTGCCTGCCTGCCTGCCTGCCTGCCTGCCTGCCTGCCTGCCTGACTGACTGACTGACCGACTTAATGCATGCCTGCATGGATGAATTTAAGTTTTATTTTTGAACATAGATCAAAAACGGCAATTAGGGACAAGGTAGGTCGACGTAGTCCTTATGTTGCATAGCAACAGAGCGATGATTGGCAAGCAGACATACCGTGTATACGAGTACATTTAAGCACGCCGAGCAAACTGAGCGACCAGATAGACTTATATGTATGATTTGGTTTTTTTTGTTGTTGTTGCTTTTTTTCTTCCTTTCTTTAGACTGTGCCGATGGCTGGCATCAATACAGAACTGGGTGCATTAAGTTTTTCACTACCTCTCTAACGAAATCGAAAGCGTATCAAAAGTGTCAGGAATTTAAAACTGCTGACCAAATCAAGGGAAAATTGGTCAAGATTCCATCCAGTGATGATAACGACCAAGTTGTAAGCCTATCACTTAAGTCAGGTGGGTGCTTCGCAATATACAGTTGCTTATCAATGACCACATTTACTGTCAAACCGGACTTTCTTTCTAACGAGGACTCCGACAGAGTTGTAAATTTCAAGAATAATCTGCTGTATTAGGCAGGGTCCACACTATGCCGGAGAAATTTTAAAACGCAGCTTTATTTCTGCAGTTAGGCCTACCGTCCACACCCAGAGAAAACGGCACATTTCGAAAACGCTCGTCAAACCGAAGTAATTTAAAAACGCCGGCTTTTCGAAAACGATGAGGTCACGATAATCACGTGATTTCCCTGACCGAGTTTACCTCAAACACAAATCCAAAATGTACCGATGATTGTTACTTTATTAAATTCCTCCAGCGGAGGGAGGACGGAAAACAGTTGATGCGTTCTCAGAGTGAAACCTCCGTTTTCAAATTCCTCCGGCGTGGTGTGAATTAGGCCTCAAGTTGCTAAGTCCCGTAGAATTCTCACAAATTCTTGTTTGCATTTTTTCCTATTAAATGTAATAATTTATTCCGCGCGTCAAAGCATGGGGAAATAATTTCTCTTTCGTAGACCTTGAAAGAAAAGAAATTGAAAGAAAAAGGGTAAGGTTAAGTTAAAATCTCCAAACTGGCAATTAAAAATACAAATCGGTCCGCCTTTGTTTTCAAAAGTTAGAAACATCTTAATTACAAATGTTTAGAAAAAAAAAAAAACGCCACTTAAGTTCGCAGGTTGGGGGNTTAAGTTCGCAGGTGGAGGGGGGCAATAACTATTATCAACCAATCAGATTCCCTCATTGTTCGTCCGATATTCTCTAAGTATTAGACTGGGCGCTGCCGCGAATGATCCCGAATGAACACTCTTGAAATTTTTCTTGTAGCCTTATGGCTTACTGTTCTGAAAGAACTGACTTTCACTTATAGTCCATATAGAGGATTCCTTTCTCAGTTCTCTCTTTCCCTTCTGTTTTGTTTAACATCAATTGTGTGTATAAGTTAGCTGGTCGACTCCCAATCAAAATTGCGTGCACGAAGTTCGCGATGTCTTTCCAGTCCGTTATCGTGGCATTTTCTCAAAACAATTTCAGTCGTGTAATAAATCCCATATTAACCAACTTTCCTCGGGACAGTGCTGGAGAATATCAGCCCTCGCTCCTTTTTGTACGGACCTCACCGAGTTCGGTTCGTACTATCAAGACCTGGGACCGATATTCTCCTTGTAAAGCCCTTGCGCTTGATTAATAAGGTGTATGTAACTTTCATTTGAATTATCACACTCCAGTAAAAGGCTTTATATTCAGACTTTACGCTCGTTAACTGAGCAGACCCCATGTAAACGATATATATGTTAAATATTATCTGCAGGAAGGTACTACATTGCTCTGTCAGACTGGTATGAGGAGGGTGTTTATCGTTGGAAGGGACAAACCGACAAGGCCACGTATTTTAACTGGAAGGCAGGCTACCCACAAGAATATAACATTGAGAAGAATAGAGACTGTGTGGTTATCTCGACCAACCCCAGTGATTATTATAAGAAGTGGACCACTGTCGAGTGTAGTAATAGCTGGCATTTCATATGCGAGTGTGAAGATGCTTGTTCTTAAACTGGCAGGAAAAGGTCACTGCAGTTGTCCAATTCACAAGGTTCTTTCTGTGACCCTTTGAGCGAGTACCGGGAGAGGGACCCTCATGTGGAAAAGTCGGGGAAGCTCGTCGAAAAAAATTGAATTAAGCCACTACAGGAGATCAATATGGGCGGGGGTCGAGCTTTATTTGACCCTTATAAAATAGCACTTGAAAATGGACATGAGTGCAACCCTAAGAGATACTTGGAGGATTACTAGCGGCGTTTCCCCCTGAATGCCCAAAGTGAGACCAAAATCCGTGATTTACACCCCAAAGCGAGATGACGAGCACTCGTGACCTTTTCTCATGGGGTCCTTCCCTCTTTCCCCCTTAGGGTTGAGTGTCTCATCGAGTAGTCCAATTTAATTAATCGTCGATAACAGACAGACAAATCATAGCAGTATTGGATGGTTTAATTTACCGTAGGCAAAGACAGATGTATTAATTTCTTAGTAAGCAAGACAGAGTTACTTTAAAATCATTTTATTTAAAATTGGGCGCCACGATTGCATGATCGTGTTGTCGGCTCGCATGAAACTATATGGAACAAGACTGTGATGTAGCAATCAACCTTTGTTGGCTGTATAAGAAATTGGAGAAAGAAGGAAGATGGAATTCTTACAAACTTTTTCTAGAGTATTTTTATCAAACAATGTGAGCGACACGCCGCACTTTCTAAATCTCGATTTCCCAAAAATGTTACGCTAAGATTTCAACTGGCTCAAGAGCCTCTTGAGTGGCTAAATTGAGTTCTACAGCCCCTTAGCGTAGAATATAAAAAACATTTTACTCTGAAATGAATTGCTCTAGCAAAGAGAGCTATAAGGTACTATAGAAAATAGATTGCACTAAGTCAGAAAGCAAGTGAAGCACTTAAAAACCAACTTGATGTTAACTGAAACGTGCGATACAGGGGCGTAGAAAGGATTTTTCAAAGGGGGATCACACTGTGTCAAAATGAGGGTACTCACCAGATTTTCGTGTCGTTTTTGCCACCTGTTGTAGGTTATTTGCTTAAAAAAGGCTTACAAATGGAGGGGTCATGGACACCTCAGCACCCCCGCCCCCTAGCTACGCCCCAGCGGTAAATGTATTAGCCGTCTTAACAAGCTTGGAAAAGCTTATATTTCTAGCGTCAGCCATCGTTGAAGCAAAATAACAAACAGCTACTGAGTTTCAAATAAATACTCCAAAATTTCCGTAAAACAAAAACAAAGTACCAAAAAAAAAAACTATGATAACTTCAGTAGATAATTTACTTAGGTGGCCCGAATGTCTAAGACATTCAAATGGTCCGAAACACAGAGCACCCGTACTTGAGGGACGCTTGAGAGTCCTCGCTTATCACGTACGTGCATTGTGAAGATCATAAATTTATTTGTAGTCTATATCTGCCTCTTTGTCGTTCACTGACACAAACATGACCATGCGTGCCTGACCAACGTGAAGGTCTGCAACGTGATCTCTGAAAACCGGCTTAAACAAAGCGATACAGCTTGTGTAAAATGCAACCACAGTACTCAATCCTGATACCAGGAATATGTTCACTGCCAGTCATCCTTCCACCAGTTTATCAAATTGCAGTACAATACTGATCGCTTAGTTGTTAAGGCCTTCCATTGGATATCTCAGTCAATCATTTCCTTATCTAAGAGTATCGCTGATACATATTAGTTATTCGACGCTTTCTAGTGGTATACCATGGAATATTATCCTACGAGGCACTTGTATTTTCTTGGTAAACATACGAGCCTTTAGGCGAGTGTGTACTTGTGCTTATGCTTCCGCTTGTGCTTATGCCTACGTCAAGGCCGTTTTCACAGCGAAATAAGAATTTGTTTGCGCTCGCGCTTGCGCTTGTGCTTGCGTCGCTAGTGAAAACCAGGCTTTAGAAAACAACACTCCAGCGATTTTACTTTATCCTTTTTTTTATCGAGTTCGCTATATCAGGATTGCCCTGTAATTAAAATGCGTCAAAACATTACCCCTCGGACGTATTTTCGCAGTTTCGGGAAAGGGTTTTAATCTGTGATGCCGAATGGTTTAGTATTAGTTTTTGAATTTCATTTTTTTTTTCTCTGAAATCTTGCGATGGAATGCCAAAAAATATCGATAATTATGTAACGCTGCTCAAGTGAACAGAAAAAATATATGATTAAAACAAACAATTATCTCAGAGACAACAAAATTTAGCTCAACCCTGCCTACTAATTTGCGGTTGCTATGGCGTTGTCAAAAGTCGTAGAAAAACAGTTGAACCGGCAGTTCAACATAAATTCAATTCGGTTTATTGAACGGCAATGTTCAACCCTTTCAGCTCTAAATTGCCGGAACCTTTCTCCTGGGTTTTAGTTCTATAAAGACACAGCTAAATAACTCTGAGCTTGCTCTACAAGATAACACTATTTTTGTTGGTCACGACGTCATATGACGCCAGATGACGTCGTTTGACCCGCTTTCTTGGATCCGCCATCTTGGATTTCACTATTTTCTTAAAAAGTCAAACAATAACGGAAATTAACAAGAAATAACACGCCAGACTTACTTGAAATCTGTGGTTGCCATGGCAACGTTGAAAAACACTGACACACAATTTCAAAATAACCCTGGAGAATAAATGAACAGCTACTGAAAGTTTCAGCCTCTTAGAGTAAATAGGGGTATCCAACGGTCTCATTCAATTTAAGAGTGCTCAAAAAATTTGGCCTTTGCTCGAATTGCTCTCAAAAATTAGATGTGTGCTCGCTTGCTCGTGCTCGCACAATTTTTGCCACTGCTCGCAAGCTCGGATTTTTGTCAAAATTCTCTGCCGTGCAGCAGAAGCATAATTTGCATTTTGGAAAAAAATTAACGCTGTAAACAATGTTTCCCTTATGGCAAAACTAGGAAAAGTTCGGGAAACATGCACGCGCTGTATATATGAATTTTTACCACAATTGCAACTAATCTCGAAATCTGATTGGCTAATTTGCTGTTGTCGATAAGAGTTTAGACAACACTGCTCGCGTCAATGTGTCACACTCTGAAAAAAAATATTTTCTTTGACGTTGATTTTGTGGTAAAAAACAAATCGAATGCGGTTTAGTGTTGTCTGTACTCTTATCGACAACGATATGCGTCATCACAGTGGTCAAAATTTGTGCGCCTCGTGAGTCCACAACATTTTGACCACTGTGATGAGCATACTCGTTGTCTATAAGAGTACAGAAAACGCTAAACCACATTCGATTTGTGAAGTTACTATTCGACCTTCAGAGCTTGTCAGAGCTGTATGGCTGCACTGGGCAATTGGTTAGATCCTGGAGGCCTCCAAATGAAACTTCAGTGCGTTAAATCTTTTTCAGTCAATTAGTGCGAAACACAGTTTGACGATCATCGAGACCGAACTCGAAACCCTTGTCAGACTAAATGCCACGTTGTTAACATTTCCCAAGAATTATATAACCAAAGAAACATACATGTTTTTTTATTATTATAATTTCACAACTCTTCAAAGTCTGGACGTGTTTACCAGGCGGGTAGGCTTACCATGGCTCTATCTAGGGTATAACCCTAGCTGAGCACTAGGGTTACCGCAACGCTAGGGTAACCCCACCCTGCGAGCAGTTGGTTTCTCCTACGCCGAACGAGAGAGAAACTGCTGCGAACAACCGTTCGTTCCTTTGAGTTAACCACCGTCCAACGCCATGGACGAATAAATTAACTTTCAACTGGTAAAACTAGTTTACAAGCTGGTTTAGGCTCGCACACATGCGCTCACCAACACAACTGCTGCGTTTAATTAAGCGAGCCCACCGGGTAGCGATCAACGTCCAACTCCACTGCGGACGGTCACGATCTGGGTTGCGATGTTCAAAGACTCTTAATTCTTCGATACTGTGCTGTACATTGCTGGAAGTTCTTCCTCTAGTGCCTTAACTGCGCTTCTGCGAGAAATTTGCATTCTTTTGACCGGCGTTGTACAAACACTTCTAGCCAACAAATGAAACTGACACCAAATGCATCACGTGGGGCGTGACGAACTCGCGCATGCTCGATGGGAAAGCAGACCGTTCGCTCGGCGTAGGAGGAACCAACCGCTCGTAGGGTAGATTAACCCTATCTACCTTTTTAACTCTCCAAGAAGAAAATGTGATATATACCAGCAAAACGGTCAAATTGTAACTCAAGAAATTAAACATCGTACGTATAAATTCACATTTTGATTTGGGCCCGGGTCAAACGCCGTACTTCACATGAGCCGAACCTAACGACAGTTTTGTTCGACACAAATAATTAAAAGAACGCCTGTTTAAGTCAAAAGTGGGCCTATTTAGTCGAACCGAACTGTTACACCAAACAAACAACAAAAACGATCTTGCTGGTCAGTGGTTTTCAAAGGAAAGTCAAAATTGCGCCTTTAGACCTTTGATTACGCGTGTGGTTCGACTCACGTGAAGATCGGCGTTTGACCCAAAGTCGGTCTTCAGGCGTTATTCACGGCTGACCAGGCGTGAAGAACGCCTCAGCCGCTCCAAATAAAATCAGTCGAACTTAAGAACGGTGCCCACTAAATACAAAGGTTTTTGCGCCAGATTAGGACCATGCGGAAAAATAGATCTTTACAAGGCTATTGGAATCCACAAAGAAAAACTGGGGTAGCCATGTATTTTTTCTAGATAATTAGCCTTGAATCTCAACAAAAATGCTGACATCAGCATTTTTCTGAAAAAAAAAGGAAAGGATATCTCTTCACAGATTTTCTTAGAATTCTCCATTGCACACAGAAAAGCAAACATATTTATAAAGATCTTAAAACTTAATGGTAAATGGTTACATTTAAACCATTTATAACAAAATCTTTGCAACAGCGCTTTTAGCGTCTCTGACAGCCTTCCTCTGGTTCAGCTAAAATACAGTCTAAATACCTTTTGCTCACAACCAGAAACTAAGCACGCGCTGAATAGGCTTGCCACTTCCATTTCATAACATAAAAAGTAGGGGTAACCACGCGTTTTTTATTTATTTATTTATTTATTTTTTATTAAGTTATTGTTCTTTTTTTAAAACTTTTACGGTACGCGTTACATTTTTTCCTGTCACCTCCCCAGTAAGTAAAACATTTGCGTATCTCACATGTGTTTTGCGCGTGCACTACGCCATCTGCAGGTACATGTTTACAGTTGGATTTCAGTATAATTTTCGACAGATAACAGCTAGTTTTTCAGCTGNGCAATTTGTTCTAAAAATAGAAAAATTGTCCCATATCATAGGTGCGCGCGAATCCCGAGACTTACGGTCTCCGTCCCCGATTATGGCTCCTGATAAAACGTACTTAATTATCTAATTCTCTCTCCTCACAACAACAGCACTTTTAGCGTCTCTGACAGCCCTCCTCTGTTTCAGCTAAAATACAGTCTAAATATCTTTTGATCACAACCAGAAACTAATCACCTGCTGAATAGGCTTGCCACTTCCATTTCATAACATAAAATATAGGGGCAACCGCGCGTTTTTTAAAGTTATTGATCCTTTTTTAAACTTTTTACGGTTCCTGTTACATTTATTCCTGACACCTCCCCAGTAAGTAAAACATTTGCGTATCTCGCACTTGTTTTGCTCGCGCACTACGCCATCTGCAGGTACATGTTTACAGTTGGATTTCAGTATAATTTTCGACAGATAACAGCTAGTTTTTCAGCTGGAAGACGTTAACAGTTAAAGGTTAGCGATATGCTGCTGTTCTGGTGTTCCTGGTTTAAGTAAAGGTTCATTAAACTTGATTTGGTCACAGTAGGAAAATTTTGCTTTCAATTTAGTCGTGTACTTGGTAGCGTAGTTGATTGCGTCATGTCAACCCAGCGCGCGCGTGGGGCTTAAGGGGGTATGGTACCCTAAAATATGGCGATGTTCATGAAAAATTCAATTTCTTGGAAATACAAGACTTAAGACCCTTGAGGACTTGTCAAAAA